GACAATAATGTACAACCGGTCATTTCGTGACAATATTCTCATGTGAAATGACCATTTCGTGACAATATTCTCATGTGGAATGACCATTTCGTGACAATATTCTCATGTGGAATGACCATTTCGTGACAATATTCTCATGTTGAACTGACTACTTCCTATGTACGATTGACCAAATGTATATGACCTAAAATGTCTTATAAATGTACTCGAGTATATAAAATAAAGTTCTATTTAACCACGTGTCAGCGACCATTGATATGTCATGTACGTGTGTGAACAAACATTGAACCGTCGTGTAAAATACGGCAAGTTGAAACACGGTGTAACAAAACTTGAATATATTATGTATAGGGGTCAAATCTTGAATATATTATGTATAGGGGTCAAATCTTGAATATATAATATAGAAATGACAACCGTCAACATGCTGTTCACTTTATAGTTTTTAGGTTTCACATTGATGAGCCAAATGAAACACTACCATTGTTGACCTAGAAAGTTCCTCGGGATACCACAGCCTCATTTCAGCTGGTCATTGGTGCAGGAAAGAGGGTTTGGGATTAAACACCGTCTAGTCTTTCGGATGAGACGAAAACCCTAGATCCAGTGTACAAGTTCACGTGCATGGAATAGAACTAGCCGAAGAGTTGGCAAATTGGACAACATGCCTCTCTTAGCACACTGCATGGCTCATCTTATTATCCCAGTTGGTGCAGAAGAGTAGGATCATTTGGTTGAGATTTATGAACCGTGTGAATCCTACCAACAATGAGAGACATCAGGTTTTCTAGAGAGACACCCTTGTGAACATTTCTATCTGTCTGTATTTCAAACGAGTTTTCTAAACATTCAGTTCCTAGATTTAAAATTATAATTTTATTTCAATTAACATCTTGTAGCATCTTTAAATGGCTAACTTTTATCCGGGTCTGAGCAGAAATGTAAGATGTTGAAGCCAAAATCTAGTCGTTCGACCTTGCAGTTGGAATTTAACGAAGAGTAAGCGGAAACATTTCCTCATAACACACGTGGGAGCCACGGTGGCTCTGTGAGTAAGACGTTGACGTACTACCTGGGAGGTCACGTGTTCGATCCCTGCATTGTCCGAGAAAGTTCATTGGGATTTGCCCGCGTGGTACTCATTGTTAGTCGTGTAGAAAGGAAAGAACAGCGTATAGTCGTTCGGATGAGACGAAATTCGAGGTCCTATGTACAAATAAGCGTGCAAGCAAAAGAACATCTGACAGTTGGAATTCGAAATAAGAGTAGGCAGTGGCGCCTCTGTCCGGACAAAATTTCACTCATAGCACACTGCATGGCGTCGCCCTTCTTCATTAGCCTAGTAGAAGCAGAATGCATATAAGTCCGTCTTTCCCCATTTCATTTCATTTAAATGGCCAAGGAAAATGATGACGTGTTCCGTACTGGAGATAATGTTAGTTTTTTAAAATTAGATATAATATAAAGTGTGTTATAGTGAACACTGGAAGGGGTGTTGTTTAAAATTATTGAAGATGAAAAGAAGCTGAAGTTTTAAAGTATTAATGTCCGTTTCTTGTTGAGTGATGTTTTTATTAACGGCCGTATATTTTGGGAGAGGTAGAGGTTGGAATGTGTGAGTCATTAACAACTATAGGTACCAGCTTGTCGACTTTTCATCAACATTAAACCATGGAACAAGTTTGTCGGTTTCACACCTGTTAATTAACATAACGTCTATTTCATCTTCCCGGGCATCATATCTATATAATGATATCATTCAACAATTTCACCTATTATAATTACCATGACAACCATCTAACCACTGGTTAAAATTATTAATCAATGGCTTCTATTATTGAATTTGATTCTCTTATTTGAAAAGTTATTTACTTTGTCATCCGATATACATGTAAATTTGGATGATTCATGAAAGATGTCTTCATGGAGAAAAGGGTCTGTTTGTTTCATCTATGTATAGTTCTATAGTACGTGTAGGATAAAGCATGAGACTGAGGTTATGCTGGGGAAAGAAAGACTGAAGAAAATAACCCGAGAAAAAGAAAAACCGAGGCCCACAGGCCGAGGTAATTCTGTCGAGGTTTTTTTTCTGAAGTCTTTCTTCTCCAGCATAACTGAAGTCGAGGACTTTGTCTTGCTTATAAACCGTCTGTGTTTTCATGTACGCAAAATGAGAATATGCCAGAATTCCCATAAGAAAAACCTTCTATCATGTTTTCTTATGGAAAAAAAACCCTACCCTGGAAAAATAACCTGTTACACGTTTAAAGAAAAACATTTAGAAGAATAATCCTAAATTCCCCTGTATTTATCCAAAACCTCCCACGACTTTCAGACCTCAAGTTATTCCGGGCATAGAATATACCCCAAAGATCAAGGGATTTACCGTTAAAGGTTTATAAATGTATGAAACACCTTTTTTTAAGGGGTGAACCTGTAACAAATGTATTTCTGGTTTATTTCTGATGATTGACGTACTTGCTTGTTCTAATTCTAAGATTTTTATTCTGATATTAATGACGTACTATATATTTCTAAGATTGGTATTCTGATATGATATATATTTCTATTAGCGTACTCTAGTAAATAAATGATATATTTTGTGTAAGTTCATTCTGTTTAGATTTAGGAGGGTATATAAATAGTAACAGTATCTGGTGTTTGATGAGATGAGCTATTTATAAACTTAAACACTGAAATCACAGTTAAACTCATCATTCGTCTCTTCTTCGCTTATAGACCTTGGTATTTCGTCCCATTCGACGGGTTAGGCACACTTTCTATGTCAGTCACACATGCACTACCCCTCAAAAAGTATCTGTGGGGAATGTTAACCTCATGAGGTATTCTTGAATCGAATACAGAACATTCTTGTGATGAGATTTTCTCAATCCATAGTGGTACTACAAGGTTATAATAAATGATTATTTTCTCACACCCTGCTGTGTGCACGTAACCCTAGTAAATACATGTACTACAAGGCTGACTGTTGATTTTCTCACACCCTGCTGTGTGCACGTAACCCTAGTAAATACATGTACTACAAGGTTAACGGATTATTTTCTCACATCCTGATGTGTGCACGCACGTAACGCTAGTAAATACATGTACTACAAGGCTGACTGTTGAATTTCTCACACCCTGCTGCGTGCACGTAACCCTAGTAAATACATGTACTACAGGGCTAGCGGGTGATTTTCTCACACCCTGCTGCGTGCACGTAACACTAGTAAATAAAAGTAACCGCATGTTAGTCTCAAAATGACACTGATTTGTTTACTGGGCCATTCTATATGCGCCTGGCTAAACAAGTCTATAGACGTGTGTATATTAAACAGGAAATGATAAAGTTTTATTGTTTAAGGTGTGTGTAAATATTATCACATCTGTCCATCAAGTATGATGTCATAGCTACCATAGTATGGTATCTTTTTACATACCGCGATACTGGTACTTACCAAAACCAGACGCATTCTACCACCCATACTATTAAATAATAGACTCGTCTTTGATAAGGATATAAACTGTTAATGCATATTTAGAACAGTTCATTAAGATAAAATAGGTTGAAATAATAAATCGTGATTTACCTTAGTGACTCACTGTACATTATATATAGAGCTATGTATTCTATACATCATCGACCGTTTTTACACTGACTCCTATCTCTTTAAAATTCTCTTTTTAAAAATTAAATTGTCGATTTCTTTGATGTATTTATTGAAAAATTAACGGCTACAGATAAAACCTGTGTTCAGATATGGGCGATGTTATGTTCGAGAATTTAAGCCAATTATAAAACTAAAATTATTTTTAAACATAACGAAATATTTACTACAAGAAGAATAAATTCTGCCTTTCCAGTGATTTTTGCTGGTCTGCTGTGTAATATCAGTTAGTTTGTTATATAATGGTATTCTAGGATAATGCGAACTAGTGACTTTTGCTGGACTGCTGTGTAATATCAGTCAGTTTGTTATATAATCGTATAATAAGATAATGCCAACTAGTGTTTCATGTACCGGAAGTAGCTATCTATAGTAGTATATATATCAAGGGCGTGGCTATATAAAACACGTTTATGTTGTTATCTAATAAACTGTTGAACAGGATACCCCCCCCCCCCGCCTAAGATCTTCTTAACGGTTCCCATTCACAATTACACTTTTGTTTATCAACGTTTTAATGAATGGGTTCCATTGTTTGAACGCCTTTCACTGACGACGGTTGTATTGCCAAGATACCATAAACTGAGAGAGAGAGAGAGAGAGAGAGAGAGAGAGCGCGCCTTTCACTGACGATGGTTGTATTGCCAAGATACCATAAAGTGAGTGAGAGAGAGAGAGAGAGAGAGAGAGAGACGTCCACTTGACACAAACTAGGTCATTTCGGGACTAACACATGGTTGAATTTTATTTCAATTGAACCCGGAGAAAACCCACGAGGTTTGACAGGCGCCCCAATATTCACAAATTGATAGTTTGTAATGAAGAAAACAAAATCAAAATATCAACTCTAGACAATTTTCGGGCTTGGATTGACAAGAGGCCTATCGAAAATATTTCATCGAAATCCTAGGTGGCGCGGTATCCTGTATATCTTTGTAAATACTGAACGAAATTGAACTGTTAAAGAATCATCCGGCGTGGCTCCCCCTTGTCAGTGATGCAGGACGGAGGGCCTGACAAGGACAGCTGTCTAGTCGTTCGGATGGGACAGAAAACGAGGTCCCATGTACACATTGGCGTGCACGTAAAAGATCTCTTCGATATAAGAGTAGGCCGTAGTGCCGCTGTCCGGGCACAATTTCCATCATAGCACACTGTATGGAGTATGCCCGTCTTCATTAGCCCAGCTCGGACCTGAACAGTAGAACGTTAAACTCCATTTCATTTCATTTTGTAATAGATTCAGTTTCACACTATTGTAGTTTGCCCTAGATTTCTCAATCTCTTAAATAAGGTTCCCAGATATTAATCAAACTATTTATATATTTTTAGGTTATGGGGAGATAACTACGATACGCCCAGCTTACACCCAGGGTCCTCCGATAGTTGATACATCAGATAGACGTGGCACAACTAAAGTTATCAGATTTAACGGTTTATCTTATTTAAAATATAAGTTTGATTACAACACACTACCAGCATCTTACTATGAGAGAACGGAACAAGAAGATCTTAGTTTCCACTTCATCACAGATAAACCAGATGGTTTGTTGTGGTTCCACCAAGGTGAAGATGGCAGAGAAATGCATCTTAGTTTAAAGGTATAGTATACTATCATTTAGCCTACAGCTATGTTGACGACGATATGATTAGTCAATTCGAAATAAGAATATGTTCGTCTCTTTTAGCAGAACAGTTACACGTTAAACCTCATTTAATTTTATTTATATCCAAACAGGTTTCTTAGGGCACAGATTGGTTTAGCCTCACAATTTAACAACAGTTTTATACTTTATTGATTATAATAAAACTCAAACTGGTTAGATATTAATCTTTAAAGGGACAATAACACTCTTGCTGGCTTGACAGCTCCAGAAAATAAAAAAATAGCCTTATTCTAAGTACTACATGTGTTAGTGTCTTACTTCTTGGCGTGCCATGCACGGAACAGTGGCTAATCCGCAAAAAACGCCTACGCTGATTGATTAATCAATGTCTGACGTCATAGGGTCAAAAGCCGCCCGTACGACCCCTGACACGACCTTCGACTACAACTTGTCAGATCTTTATGTAGTGTAGACCATCGAAAGTATAAAAAAAACGAAAGGAAATATAGATGTGTATTTGAATCAGATTGTCGCTGATAATGTTAAAGTGCTTGTAACGGCAAGACGATCTGACCAGTATTTCCAACAAATTACTAGTGCGTTTTAATTACAGGGTGGTAAACTTGTATTTGTAAATGATGATGATGGAAGTCCTAAAGAAATAACTATTGCTCCTGACACTGGTGCTGGGTATAACGATTGGGAATGGCATCGTGTTAACGTTAACAGACGTGGACGCAGGGTAAGTCGTAGCTTCTCTAAAATATTAATAAAAACATGATTATTTGAATGATTATATTGTCTATGAATGGCTTACAGATTTAGTGAATTTTAATATTTGTATTAAATATTAATAATGTTATTGAATATGAATAAGTGTATTGCATGTGAATATTTGTATTGAATATGAATACTATTATCGTATACTAATATGAGCAATTGTATTAACTATGAATAATTGTATTGAATATGAACAATGTTCTGGAATATGAACAATGTTCTGGAATATTAATATAAATACTATTTTTAAATATGAATAATTGTATAAAATATTTGTATTAAATGTTATACAGATCAATATATCAGTTGATGGTAGAAATGGAAGAGATTATATATTTGAGAATGATGATATACAGTTACTGACATTAGCAGATGTCTGGGTTGGTGGTACACCCAATACATATGAACTCACTAATGGTGTAGTGAGACGAAACTTCGATGGTGGTGTCGCAGATGTAAGCTTCATATTTATTTATATAAATTCTCTCTAAATAATACTTTTATTTCTCTGTGCATCATGTGAAGTCTGTTGTTTCGAACACTGACACTGAAAAGCACCGACTACCTTGTAACCGATGAGTACTACACATAATCCGCACGTTTATAATTGTTGAAAGCGCAATCTCCAGCTCGGAAAAGCTTCGGATGTATAAACTCGCTGTTGTCGTTTTAAAATGATTAAAACATCATCTGGAATATTGTGAATAGAAATGATAATAGATAAATACTATAATTTATACGGTTATAACTGGATTGTTCGATTATTTTTTAGTGATAAGACAAGCTCTATACTATTAAATTTAAATTTTGGGGCCCAGTGGAACACAAAATTATCTGGAAACGTATCGCCCCACAAAACAAACCTACACATCGGCAATTGTATTTGGGCCTAAATCAAAGATCTCAGTGAATGGACCCATCATCGTCCACATCACTATACAGTCCCGTAACTGTTGGTTTATTTTTCATTCAGATGATTTACTCGACACGAGATGGTAATATCATCACAGACGTCAACTTGATTGGACTTGCTGGTTCTTCTCACGGTAATATTGATATTACAGATGAGCGGATCAACATCCGACCTCGTCCAGTTACCAGAGGACCTGTTATTATTACTGGACGACCTCAAATCAGAACGCCACCTCCACCACGAGTGACTTTAGCTCCAGTTGTTGGACCAACTCCAGTTACATTTAAAGAATCCAATACTTACATCACGTTACCGACACTGAAGGTTCAGGAAGGTGGAGTCATTCACTTCAGGTTCCGAACCATCAAAGATAACGGTTTGATGCTGTTTAACCGTGGAGAAGCCAACGCTCCCAACTTTATAGCTGTTGAACTATTTGATGGTAAACTCTACTTTGTCTATGACTTCGGCAGCTTTACTCGCAGAGTTCCCTTCTCACCACGTGTTGTCTCTGATGGTCAGGAGAAGGAGGTCGAGATCAGGTTCTTCAACCGCCACATAGATCTTCTTCTGAATGGCGAGTCCAAGCGAATCAACTTTGTCAGTGGTGAAGTATTAAGAGATAACTTGAAAGGAGCTTTCTATGTGGGTGGCTTCGACAGTTTCACTAGCCTTCCTTGGCACGTCTGGTCTCGTGAAGGCTACCAGGGATGCTTCCAGGATCTTAGAGTTAATGGAAAACAGATCAATCTCCACTCGTTGGTCAGTGATCAGTTCCTCTACGGAAAAGTTGATAGAAGATGTTTGAGTATGCCGAGAGAATGTGCCGTTCTCCAACCATGTCTGAATGGATTTTGTCGGGATACTTGGAATGGGTACAGATGTGATTGTAGAGGAACCAGTTTTACTGGTAGAAACTGTGATAAGGGTACGTATTCAATCAGACTTTCGCAGTCTTTATTGTAAAACATGTAAGCAACAACAAGCAACTTAGTTAATGAGTCATCAGAGATGTGCCAATAACTAATTTTATAAAAACTGGAGACATTGAAACGGTGCTCAATATGAACAATACTTGTATTTTAACAATTGATCCTGTGTATTGCCAGTTTAGTTACTATTTGTAACATGGACGGGAAATCTTCTTTTGTTCTTTTCGTTCATTAAGCAGATTGGGTGGCGCTTAACCGTGCAGTAACTAGACATGTTCAATGTTATTGCACACTTTTGCTGGTTTACGCTAGTTTTAGTAGAAATCATATAGAGAAGACGTGGGGTGGGTTTTCTGTGCGATAACAACAAGAATGTTGAGCAGGTGTCAATGTTACAAGTCATTTATAGCAGGCTTCATTCGCTAACAGTTTTAACACCTCGGCCTACGGCCTCTGGTTAAACCTGTTAACTCATGAAAGCCGTGCTATAAATATAACTTAATAGTTAAGTAGTTAGTGGAAGGAAACAAATTGTGGTGTGCTTACTCTTTTCCTAACATCTTATATAACTTGTTATTGATACAAAGCCTAGAATATTCTCATCATCTTGAAAAACATTGTTCTTTTTGTTGTTGAACTGGGCTTTGTAATTTATTTTGATATTTTGAAGTGTATGTTTCTCAGCTAGATGACATCGTCTATTAATTTCTATTGCAGACGCTTTAGTTGGTGCTCTCAATGGTAAACAATTTGCTGTTGTTTCTATGGACGCCACCCAGACTCATACCAACGACATCTCTATGCGATTTAAATCACCCCTTAGTGACGCCTTGTTGTTCCAGACTCACACTGACGTGTCAAACGAATATCTCAGATGTGAATTAGAAAACGGCAGGATAAAAATCACTACTAATTTAGGAGGCGAGACAAAGGTAATGTTTTAATCCTTCACTACGCCATGTTCTGGGCGTTCCTGCTGCCTTGTGCATATTTCCGGTTTCCATTCACTTCCTCTTGTAAATTGGTTTGTTGACAGTCTCACAGTAAAACCTAGCAATCTGATTACAATACAGATCTATATTTCGTTTAGTTTTTTTATACTTTCGATAGCCTACAGTACATGAAGATCTGATCAGTTGTTTTGGGAGATCACGTCAGAGGTCATACGAGCGGCTTTTGACCCTATGACGTCAGATATTTGATTAACCAATCAGCATTGATGTTTCTAGTGGATTACCCAAAGATCCGTGCACCTCACGCCTAAAGTTCGTCTAACAAACCGTATCATTGGCAAATCCCTCACATCATCCAGAACACGTCAATGGTAACAACTCGTCCAGATCCTGGTGTAGTCAACACAAAAAAAAGAAATTTTTTAGCTATAAAAAACGAAACGAAATAGGATCTGTGTTTTAATCGGAGTGTAAACCCTATTGACTGTGTTTCACACGATGCTTCCGTTAACCCAACAAATTGGCAACTACAAGGTTTAATGCTAGTATTTAAATCAGGAGAAGATATTCACTCTTGGCGTTTTTGTTTCCTGGTGATATTGTTTTCTAGTTTAGGAAAATAATTTAAGTGAAACACATTTATGTTTTTGTTTCAGTCGTTCTATGCTGGGGAGAATTTAAATGATTTCCAATGGCACACTGTGTACATCAGTCGACGTGGTAATCAGATAGAAGTCTGGGTAGATGATGGTGAGAGACAAATGGGTAAGTATATATATATATATATATAAATACTTTTAAACAATATTTCATAAATAGTTTAACAAACATAATCAGTGGCTTATAACAACCCTTTAAGCTTAAAGGTGAACAGATATAACAAATTTTAGATATTTCACAGTTAAACGTACATTATGCAAGAGCAAAATCTGCCAATTGCAGGTCTTTCTTGTGGCCTGAAATGTTATCTTAATTATTAATTAGACATTAATTAACTTATCCAGACCATAATCAACTCTCGATGTTATTGCTTGCCTGTGATATTTACTGGATTATGATCGCATTTGCTGCTTGACTTCCATTCATAATTTAATCATGAAATGGATGATCGAGATTTTAGTAATGATGATCGAGGCTAGGCAGAAATTTCATTCGCTTAATTCTCGGTTCATAGTGGATCAATTTGACTGAAATTTTTTAGCCTGTTCCCTTTACATTATCTAGTTTTTAACTATTATAGTGGGAACTGTCAGATCTTTATCTAATCTCCCATAATGTATCTTTAAATTAACACCATTTCTTTTTCTTCAGGTGAATTGTCAGGTGAGCGGTTCTTCTTTGATATTGAGCAGATATTTATTGGTGGCCTAGCTAACGACAATGTTCAGATCGGCGGCAATGCCAAGAATTATATTGGTTACATGCAAGGTTTCATGTTTAATGACGTCAGTGTGTTTGAGACGGCCGTGAAACAACCAGGTGATAACTTGATCAGTTTCAACCTGACTGATATAGATCGATTACCTCCCTTAATCTATAACCCAATCACAATCAAAAACCGTGACACATTCGTCCAACTTCCTACACTGAGAATACCAGCTTCAATGGTCATTAACTTTATGTTTAAAACCAAGGAAACCAGCGGTGTCTTGTTATTTAATGGCGGACGTAACAGGGAATTCCTTTCTGTGGAGTTGTACAATGGATATCTTCATTTCGCCTTCAACACCAGCGACAGTTCTCCAGCTCTGCGTATGAACACGCCACAACCGTTGAACGACAATAAATGGCATACGGTGACAATACGACGTGTTGATAATCGTCGATTCAGTGTGAGTATTGATGGAATATCAACTACTATCGCCAGTGAAGGACGGGATACTAGTATTGACCTACAGGGTCCACTGTATATTGGTGGCCTACCACAGAACATGTTTGACCAAGACTACGTTAGCGGTGCCTTGTTGTCTAAAAATGGTTTCCAGGGATGTCTGGCATCTATAGACTTGAGTGGTGCTGTTCCTGATTTGGTTAAATATGGCGGCGGTTCTACGAACATTATTACAGGGTGTACTGGTAAGTTTATTTTACTCTCGGTGTCCTAAATGTGTAGTCACCTGGCAACCATCTTTGGTCCCTGTGTCTCGAATGAATTCGACATTTTAAAATACAGTCACCTGCATAAACGTTTTGCAAGGCGAGTTTTTATGAAATTGACCTTAAATTATATACAAAAAGTCAGTCATTTTACTTATCTGCTATGAACTGAAGTTTGTTTAAAATGATTAAGAATTCTTAATATTGTAATGTGTTTGACGTTTTCAGAAATCCAGGCTGTTTGCGGACCAGATACCTGCACTAATTATGGAAAGTGTGTTCCTGATGGTGCCTTGTTCAGATGTGATTGTAATATGACATCATTTGTAGGAACAATCTGTAATGAAGGTAGGGCACCAATTTTAACAATCTATAGTTTAAATAGTGGGGGAATAATAGGTTGTTGAACTGCCTGTCCGTCTGTCCGTCCGTCTAATCTGTGATATCTAATATAGTGACATATTACTTGTATGACGGCGTCCAACACTACCGGATGATTTCCGACCGTAATTTGTATCGCTAGACCTGAAATTCTGTAAAAGTTGGGTCATGTCAGTTATTCTGAAATACATCATCTGATGCTGAGAGAAATCAAAAACGAGGTCCCCCGTCTTCATTTTAACGGATATCACAGACCCGTTGGGACCTTAAACCCCATTCCATTCAACCATCCATACTGTGTACTGTGTACAGTGTTATTATAAAGACGTTTACGTATTGTTATTATCACAGTGGCTATTGCACGTTGTTATTATTACAGAGGCTATTGCACGTTCTTATTATTACAGAGGCTATTACACATTGTTTTTACAGAGGCTATTACACATTGTTATTATTATTACAGAGGCTATCGGATTCCGGTTGAAGGAAACTAGAACTAAGGATGGTGTATTAATATATACTTACTCCCAGGGATTCGAACCCAGCACCATGACCGATGATATCGCTTTTGGATTTATGACCAATGAACCCGATGGAATACTAATGAGAGTGAACAGTGGTTTGGTTGGTGATTTTATAGAGTTAAGATTGGTAAGTATTTATTATAAATAGAGTTGAGTTACGATTAGTCAGTATTTATTATAGATAGAATTTTAATTCTTAAAAGAATGATAAGTATTTGTTATAAATAGAGTTAAGATTGGCCAGTATTTGTTATAAATCGAGTTAAGATTTGACTGTACATGTATTTATTATAAATACAATTAAGATTGGATTGCATTTATTATAGTTATAATTAAGATTGGACTGTTTTTATTATAGTTACAATTAACTATTTATTATAGATAATTAGTAATTGGTAGATATGGTCGAACCGAGTTATCAGTCGTTGCCCTCTTGAATACATTCATTGCGAAATCTCGAGTTTCTGATTACAATCCAGGTCATTGATAATTATTGTTGGCAAATCCAAGACAGTTAAAACGATTATGAAGAGTTGCCCAATAGTTCGGGTAGGGGAATCACACCACACGTAAATAACCAAATACATGGACATTTTGATAAATAATAAAAGTTGGTGGATTGGTCGTAAGGGTCTACTGGGCGGTATAATACCGGGTTCCAACGATAAGGACTACGCCGTCACCCACGAATGTGGGGCCAAAGTTATTTTTAGTCTTTCTCTCCCCATATTCCTGAAGCAATGGTCCGAGTAATCCCTCTGTCCATTGCTGGATTGGCTTCTTATACTTGAGCTTTTGAGGGAGTTTGTCTATTCTTTCCGTTCAATCAAATCTATCCCTAGTACAGCAACATGACACCCCTTCGTTTAATCTGGGTCTTCCCTAAAACTTTGGACAGTGATTTAAGGTATTAAAAACGGTTGAAGTATTCTTCGTCTTCATACAGTTGTTTACATTGTATTCGTGTTGATAGCCTCGTTTGTCACGCAATTAGTTTTTCTGCAATAGTCTGCTATGCACTGGTTAATTGGCCATAATAAAATCGTTAGTCATTACGTAACGTTATGTAAACATATTTGGTCCAATTTGGAGCTTTGTTTAAAATTTAACGATTTTGTTACTCAGTTAGATATTGGTTGTTAATCGGACTATTGACCAGTCATAATTTGCAACAGAAATTTGCTTCCACTAAAGCAGTGTTTAGTGGGATTAGCTCTAATCAAACGAGGAGTATGTTCTCTCCCTTTCCCCTTTTGTTGACGTTTTGGTGTAGAATGGGAGAAAGGGGGTTGAAAATACATTTTCTGCCAGGTTTTGGTGAATATTCATGATTTTGAGGCGGAAGGATACAAGAGTTGAGTTGTTGGTTAGGTTGAAATTCGGATCAAAAATTGCATGTTTACTTGTCTCTACTTCCAGCTTGTGTATCTCAAGTTTTTCATGATGAACCCCATGCGTGCTTTTGGGCAAGAGTTTGCTACATGTTGCAACATCTGTGGCAGAAAGCTATCTATCCAACGAAGATTTTGGAAAATGTTAGAGCCGGTCTAAGAGACGAGAATTAACATTAAAGTCAATGGGGAAATTTTATGTTTACATAAGGCGTCACGTAAATCAAAAAGAAACTCGTGCCAAGGGAGAGAACCTAGAAATTCAAAAACAAACAATCCGCAACTCGGGAGCTTTAATGATCAGGATATGAAATGGTTCATTATGTATTCTGTTTTAGGAAAACGGCCATGTTATTGCTGAGTACGACACCGACTCATCTGGTAAATCGAGTAAAATTGTTCAATCATCCAGACAATTTAATGATGGTAAATATCATGTGGTCAGGTTCTACAGGACGAGTAACAACGCCACCTTACGGGTGGATGATATTGGTGCCAGAATTAATTCACATTCCGGTAAGTTTTACATTTCTCACCAGTTGACAATCAAATTATTTTATTTTCGTTTCGAAATGGCGAAATGGTCTCTCTGATGTGCTGTCATATTTTGGCAAGTCTTCCTTACAAAACTGTTCAAACTCTTTGTGCAGTAAGGTAACTTCTGAAACCAGAACTTGCCATCTCTTCGTGCATTTTTCAGATTTAAACTGGAATATTACAAAATATGCAATACATGACAATGTGCACGCGTAGCATTTCACCTGGTCCCCAAGAGTATCATTGATAGGGCTGGCTTGTACAAAGGCAGGCATGTTCTCAAATTCTCTTATTTCTTAGTTGATGGTTTCTACTTTAATTATTATTCCAGTTTCTATTTTTGCGTATTGTATGTATTAATTGTGTGTATTATTATTGTATATTATTTGTGTGTATTATTTTTATTGTATATTATTTCAGTTCGTCATGGTATATTTGACAAACATGGATCTATACATATCGGTGGTTACAGGGTGAACAATGCGATACAGCGTCCATTTAATGGTATTATTGCCGGTGAGTTTAATAATTTATATTTATTTATGTCCAGTTCATATATAGTAATATACCCTAGTCAACCTTTACACTATAGCTTACATATTCTACTGATATATATTTAGCATCCAAAGGCTGCAGTAATTAGTCATCACGTGGCCGGTGGAGGCGTGCTTGGGTGGACTAGAGGTCTAGAGTGTCGCTTAACCCCTGGATTGCGGTTTTGGTTTCGATCCCTGATGTGAGAGTATATGACGTGGAGATAGAGACGCCTTCTTGATCTCGTGGGTTTACTCCGGGAACTCCGCTTTCGTCCCACAGCAAAAAGCAAAAGCAAAAACGCGTGCGCGTGTGCTAAGCATAATAATAAGACAACTTGTCTGCTATATCACCATCGGTGGAACGGACGTTAAACACTAACAGTAGAGGAAGTCATCGCGGGCAATTGTTAACAATTATAAAATGTATGTACCTTTTATCGCCATAGATTTTGTTTCTCTGACATATTGTTTATAGCGTTCTAAAAGAAAAGTCTAGACTAATTATAGAATAGCCTAACAATGAACTTCTCTTCATTTCCACGAGCTTCCATTGAACGTTTACGATGTAACGAATCTTTAATGTTTTTATTGACAGCGATTTGTCTCTGATTTAACATACACCCTTCTACGTTCAACATCTCCGATCTAATTGTAACAATCGAATATTAGTTATTTCATTAAACTGATAGGCGAAAATCTGCTGAGCGATAATGTTACTGCACACTTGAACCCTGGGCATTTTATTAAGAGTTAACTTCTGTGAAATCTATTATTATTCAAAAATTGTATTTTTTAGGAATGTATTTTAATGGTTTGCGTGTTATGGATATGGCTGCCAATAAAAGACAAACAGTTTGGATTGGAGACGTTGCTATAGCACCATCTCCTTTCTCGCTATCAGGAAGGTAGGAACAACATGTTTTATACATTTGGTTGGTGGAGTAGATCTAAGCGTACCAATATTTATTTGATTTCCACCAAAGATATCATTGTTTAGTGTGCACGCGGAGATTGAGCGCTTGATGTATATTTTGATAAACTTTATGAAGAGCTAGACGTACAACAATTTCTGAGATAAAAATCATGGAAAACGACGTGGACAGTGGATAATCCGAGAATTTAATTAGGTTTCGATATTTATGATAAATGGATAGCGATTAAAGTCAATTTCGTCTTGTTTATGCAATGAATTCTCCTCCGACTTCGCACCCGCTGCTAGGTATTTCGTCAGCGAGAGAGGGGGAGGGGGTGGGGGTGTTAACGTCCAAACGACACTATTTAGATCATTTCGGGACTAACGTATTTTATTTCAATAATTCGCTTGCGCTGGATATCTTGTCAGTATATCATTATTGAAGGTTTTTCATCTTTCAGTACAATAATTATTAGAACACCGAAACCTGATCTTCCAAAGGTAACAGCTGTTCCTCCTGTAACAATACCTCCAATTATACCAGGTGGTACAGGTGGTACAGGTGGAGGGGGAATCGGAGGAACAGGTGGAGGAACTGTGGTATCTGGAGGAGGTGGAGGGTCTGGTATTTTACTTGGAGGTGGATCAGCCCAACCACTAGCTGCAGCAGCTATAGGTGGAGTGCCAAGTGGAGGATTTGTAGGAGGTGGACCACGAGCCGGAGCTGTTGTTGGAACTGTTCTGGGAATCCTAGCTTTGGCTAGCAGCATGATGTGGGCCTTTTACCTGTAAGTATGAATTATAGCAAGCAGTTAATACACTGAAGCCAATGATTTGGAGAGTAAAGAAGAAATAAATTGCAAACCAGGAACAAATTGTTTGCATTGTAGCACGATACATTGTTTGTAAAGATTATTTGTTGTTAAGCTAAGTATTTCTTTAAACGACATTTCGAGTTGTTTCTTTAAAAAGCTAGTCAAGCCCTTCATCCTTATTGTGTTTTAATTTTAGATGTAAACCTGGATGGTGTGTTAGACCAGCAGGGGCTGGTGGTGCTCCAGTAGCTATATCCCCACCAAGAGCTGGTTCTAATCTAGGTGCCGTCACAGCTGCTGGAGGTATGGCTGGAGCTGGTAGTATAGTTGGAGGAAGTGCTGCAGGTCGGTATATCCATGTATATGTTAACTAGAATACATTAGAGTAATATGACAGTCTGTATTTAATCCGAGTATTTTCAAGGCTGCAGATAATGTAATCAACATTATTTCGGGTTTCTAAACAATAATTATACAAGGTTCAGTTGGTAGAAAAATGATACCCCATATTCGATTGCGGAAGAATTGGTATCTGGAAAGACTAGCCTTGTGTGCCTAATGTCAATCTCCAATGGGGTTTATGGAAAGCCCATGTGCAATTATTGTAATATACACTTCCATTGAGTTTATTTCATTGGTTTTGCTTTTCTTTGTTTTTAAAAATAAAGTTTATTTGATTCTTGTTGCAGGTGGTGCTGGAGCAAAAGGAGGTGGTATGAATTACGATACGGCAACATTACGTGGTACTGGAACCTTCACCAGTTCTGGTACTAATATCGGCACTCCTAAAGCTGGACGAGCTCATCTTGGTTCAACTGCATCACAGGTACGTCAAAGGATACAATCAAATGGTTCCCGTGTCTTCTCAACTATCCAAAGGTGAAGTTGCAATGGTAGATTTAGAATCATGGTACAAACGATGATATATAAATACCTCAGTGGTGCCAGTACACTGTAGCCGCTTCTGGAGTTTGGGATATTTGATCACAAAATAGGTTAGGGGTCAAGATGTTCGGTTATGAGAAGTGTTGCTTCACTCTGGAATGGCTCGATTTGACTGACATAATCATATTTATTTAAGCATTGTATTTCTGTTGCAGGGTTCTGCTGCTTACTACCAACAGAACACAAGTGTTGTTGATGGTGGTAATCTGGGTTCTCCTGCCACGCTTGGTTCCTATCATTACGAGGGACATGGAATGGCTGATTACGATCTGGCACATGGTATGGGTGGCTCTGGGGGAGGAGGGTCTGCTAACTATCAGAGCAACACCCTACAATCTGGCTACTCGGCTTCTACTATGACTATGTACAATTACAACATGCAAAATGTACGAACTGTGACCGGACAGCATCAAATGATGGGATATGGTGCCCAGAATATGATTCCTCCAACACCTGGTGCTATGGGAGAAGAGGTTAGAGTGGACTGTTGTCTCATGACAACTGATGGAAGGAGTGTTGTCACTGGTTCTAGTCATGGACCACCACAATGTTGGGATATGCAGGTATGTTGTTTAACTAGGTAATTCGTGGACTAACATATGGTTTAATTTTACTGCAATAAGTTTATCACACGCCTGTGTATTTTAGAAATATGAGACAAACGGTGTACACATGGAAAACCCACGAAATTAGTTTGATTGAAGTTTGAAAATTAAATTCAAATAGAGTTAAATTTGAGATATATACCCCTTCATGGTCCTCATGGGTGAAGCTACTGTGTTCAGCTAGATGTATTGTTGTATACTTACAGTCAGGAGAATTATTACGTACAATGAAAGGATATACAATGGGATCAACCAATCTTCATCTAGCTTGTAATGATAGAATGTTGGTGGGAGCTGTTAATGCTGACCTAGATATTAACGAATATTCCGTGCGTAAAGGTGTAACTAACAGACAATTACAGGTATGTTACCTATCATTCATTCTAGTGGTGTGTTTTGTTGGACAGTGTGTTAGGATATTCCTATTTTTTAAATGAATGCCGTAAACTATGTAACTACATGTGGGCCAAACAATTTGTCAAGTAGCAATATAATATCGTTTTGATTTATATTTTTATTGGATGGATCAATTTACCTGATTATTGGCATCTATTTACCTGGTTATTGCCATCAACTTACCTGGTTATTGGCATCGATTTACCTGGTTATTGCCATCAATTTACCTGGTTAACGGTATCAATTTGTTTACCCGATTACTATAAATTTATTTACGAAGTATATGTAAGGAAATCTTCGTAATTCGTATATATTTAGCTCAATAAAAATATATAACCAACCGTCTGATATAACCCCACATGCAGTGGGATTTATAAATTCGTATTTTCATAGATTGACAAATGTATCACCTGGATATGTTTAATAGAAAGCACCCCTGGATGCATATTTTTGCTCTGTCGAATGGTCATCCGGATGTTTTATGTTTTCAGATTTGGGATTTCACCAACGGTCAGCCATTAGAAATGTCTTCGCTTATAGAATATTGTTCAGCTGTTTGTGTTATGAGTGACAACGATAAGGTTGTTTTCGCCAGAACTGATAAATTTGGTAACGCCACGGCGGTCGTTGTGTGGGACATTTTAGGAAATCAGCCTATTAAAGAAATGCGATATGACAGTCCAGTAGGCAATAACGATTATGTACATTATATTAATTTATCTCAGAACGATCGATTTGTGATCGCAGGTTTCACTAATACATTCGACCAATTCGCTGAATTTGTCGTCTTCGATATGACGTTAACGAGTTATAACGTCATGGAACCAAGCTTCCTTCGATTGGACGCCAACCCAGAATGTACGGAGGTTCTACCACGTGATGAAGCCGTCACTGGATTACGTAATGGAGATTTGGTGGTGTGGAGTTTGCGCACAGGTCAACCTAACAGACAACTAGTGTCGCCGAACGGCCGTGCTGCTCATGATCGTGAGGTGAAGGCCGTTGTAAGGTCAAAGGATAATAAGTATCTGGTTACAGCTTCTGCGGATGGAACGTTGAAATGTTGGGATCTGGAGACAGAGAGACAGATGACCACCATGAGTGGACACCAAGATGAGGTATGTTTATATGATCTATAGGGTCAGGGGTTGGCTAACAGTACGTTGTATAGATACGACTTTAGATGCATCCCTTCTTATAGACTGGGTTACTAGGCCTGGCCTTTTCAACGCCTACAGTGGAGCCACCTCTTCAAATTCTTCAACAAAGGTGTTCTCGAATTTATTTCCAATATCCATCCATATTAAAGATACATTATGTAAGATTTAGATAAAGAACTAGCCATTCTTGCTATAATAGTTCGAAAGTAGATGATGTAAAATGAATAATTTGAAAATTTCATTCAAATTACTCTATTGCAAGCGCAGATATTAGCCTTTGAAGGTTTGACAGACGTGTGCAATAATTTCAACCACCGTACTGGTTGATCGAAGCTAAGTCTCGGTCCTCCATATTTGATTAAATCAAAGTATCGTTGAACCATTCTAATCTATTTAATATCGGAGAAATCTGATGCCATCGAGAGTTGATTAAGGCCTGGATCAGTTAATTAATGTCTAATTAATACTTTAGAAAACATTTCAGGCCTAAAGAAAGACCTGCAATAGGCAGATTTAGCTCTTGCATAATGCATGTTTAATATCAATAAACTGTTATATAAACATGTATTCTGTCTTATATCCGCATTAAGTCTAACAATGTATGTCCTTGGTATTTGTAATTAATATCTGAAATGAGGCCACTGTTTATCTCACCAGAATAATCTAGTTTGGTAAACTCCCGCCCTTGAACCGTCGCTTACGTTTGATTGTTTATTTACTTTTTACAGGTTTGGTGTTGTGCCATTTCTCCTGACAACGAAATCGTCGTTTCTGGATCACGTGACGGTACGATACGACTCTGGCAACTTCGTAACGGAAAGCAGATCTGTTCCTTTAACGCTGGTGTTGATGTCTTCTACATCACTATGAGTCAAGACAAGAGCACGATCGTTGCCCTGGGAGACAAGTTCGGCGCCAGGAAACTAATCATGTTACAAGTAGTACGCACCAAAGTTCGACGTCAGATCACCACTTCTTAAACAAAAGACGACAAATCGTGCAATTTAATTTATTTCTGCTTTATTCTAAGTGCTGTGCTGATATTTGGACATGGAGGTCAAGGGTCAAGGTCAAAGGTTGTGACCGGAATTACCGGAAGTCTGTTGTTCACCGAATACGTTCACTAACTCAAGAAATATTAAACGTATACACAAAACTGCATGCTTTGTTTAGATTTTATGACGTCAAATTAGGCTTTGACCCATGGAATTAATTTTTTACGCAAAAAACTGAAAATACTCAGTGTGTTTCAACAGTGTACTTTTTTCTTTTGTTTTTTCACGTTCTTAATTAATTCACATTATTTTTGTATTTTGTTATCGAGAATGTGAAAATATTTTTTAATATTTGGGAAAGTAAATCTCACGAATTATACATCCAAGTTGGTAAAAATATTTTGGTGTTACTTTAAAATAATAGCAGGTGAAATAAGTTAATTGCAAAACGACGATAGTTAGGAATAAATAATTAATTAATTAATTACTGCTTTTAATTGTATACTTTCTTGCCAGTTATTTATATTTTTAGATTTTGATATTATAAATATGAAATACAATTCAGACGACAATAGATTTTACTTATTTCTAAGTAGAGTAGTTTGATTTGTTAGTCAATAAGTGAATAGAATAGGCCAATTTACATAATCAATTGGATGTTCTATTAAAGAATAGGCCAGCTCACAAATGATCTCTAAAATAATAACGAAGAAGGGTGAAAAAAAATAAATTTCTCAAAATATCCATTAGCTAGCACAATTTTGAAATACATTTTATATTTCTTAATTGAGTTGAATACTAGAAACATTTACTATTCAATGATGTGGGTTTTTGTTTTAGTTAAAATGGGACAAGTCTCATATTATGTTTTTATTAAAAGTTTTTCTGAAGTTTATTTAAATCTTTTTTTTACGATTCTAGATTAACTTTTTCTGTCTCTGTGTTTGTTTAGAAAAGTAAATTGCTTTTGATGTTTATATGTAGAATATTTACAGTTGGTTTATCCGAGTCATAAATATTCACGGCGTATATTAGGTATATTACCAATATAATAAGTGCATAATATCAAATAATGATCATTATTCCAAATTAATCCTGAGTTTTATCCAGACCGATCGGAACATGAGACATAAATATCAACATACAATTTACTACAATTACAAGAATTACAGCTTAAAGAATTTTAAGGAATTATGTCTAGAAAAATTTTAAGAAATCATGTCTTGAAAAATTTTAAGAAATCATGTCTTGAAAAATTTTAAGAAATCATGTCTTGAAAAATTTAGAATAATTTAGATATTGGAATTATTTTAATTTTCTAAACTATTATTAGTAACGTCGGATACCATGAACTATAATCTCGTTAGGGAAATCTCAAAATAGAAATCCCATATTCTTTACAATAATAATAATATATATATATATATATATAAACGTATATAAACTATGCATTTTTTTATGTATTTTTAAGTGCTGATGTAAAACATGAAATTCTTTTTATTATTAAAAAAATTCATATTTTAAAAAAGAAGTAAAAAGGGTTTGTTTAAATTGTATATTTGAAAGGATCATTGATTTGGATCACGGTGGTTCAATGATTAAAGCGCTGGTATACTGACCTGGTACCGGTTCAGAACGGAACGAAAACGTAGAAAGCACGTCAACGATTCCTTTACAGTTTGAATTCGATGACGAGTTGACGTAAACGCAGCGGAATATCTTTGTAGTTCCGGTAGTCACATTTCGCGGTGTCCAGTAATGTTGCTTACCTAATTACCTATATGGGTCCACCGGCCCCCCCCCCCCCCCCCACTGCTAAGACCCATAAGCACAAGCGAATTATTGAAATAAAGATACACGATTAGTTAGTTCCGATATGTCATGACCGTGTCTATCATTTTAATTAAGATAAATAGATAATTAGTTGTCGGGCAAGTTCTACACGGTTTTTATTTTGTTTCGAGAAATATTAATTGGAAACTTTTTAACAAAGTGAACAAAACCGGTTACCACCAAAATAAGAGAGTGACAGAGAGAAATGGGGTTAAACGTCCACTCGACACAAACTAGGTCATTTCGGGACTAACATATGGTTTAATTTTATTTCAATAATTCGCTTGCGCGTAGGGGTCTTTAGCAGTGGGAGGAAACCGGAGGACCCGGAGAAAACCCACGAGGACCACCAAAATGCTAGAAATGTGTACAAATCGAAGAGACAATAAGGGAGACCTCTTCACAGTTCTATACTTCGACAATCATCAGCCAGTAAATATATTTTTATAACAGCGAATTGAAATAATACACAGTCTAATTGTTGGCTTCTTCTCCGTTTATGGCGGGTTGAGTGGCGGAATTGTTTAATGCGTGCGCTTTAAGTCACCAAGTCCGTCATTGTGTCAAATGGTGAGGTTTCGATTTTCCCTAACTGCTAAAAACTCCTGCGCACAACTGAATTATTATAAAAACTCCTGCGCACAACTGAATTATTATAAAAACTCCTGCGCACAACTGAATTATTATAAAAACTCCTGCGCACAACTGAATTATTATAAAAAAAATATTGAATTATGTGTTAGTAATAAAATAACATGGTTTATGTCGAGTGGAAGTTAAACCCTTTTGCTATAATAATTTCTGTGGACGTATCCAGATGCTGAATAAACAATAACATGGGACGCTCTTTGGTCAGGTCCAAAATTACGCGCATTATAGAGCGGGGGCCCAGGTTGGTCAACCTAGCTGAAAAGTGTACCAATTTTCTCCTATATGGTATAAATGCATGCATATCTGGTATCATCAGAATGTAAGTCTGCAGGGTATCTGGTGGTGGGTGTGGTATTCCACGCCCAATATGCCATCCCCTCCCCCCTCCCTCCCTCCCAACTAGGCTAGATTAGCTCAAAAGTGTACCACATGAAAATCGTACAACAGTGTACCGTACATTTTCATGTATTACAAAAACACTCTGACAGACTTTTCTAGTGGTGGGGTACCTCTGACAGAGCTATCCCTGACAAGAGTTATCTAATTTCCAAACCACAGCTAGGCTAGATTAGCTAAAATCTGAACCAGTACCACCATAGGAATCATGAATGGCCACTGCCAGACCGTTTGTGCCGTGAGTTACCCCTAACAGACACGCCCTAAAATGTCACGCCCCCAACTAGGATAGATTAGCGGGCACTGTTCCCGTGGATCAAAAAATTAAAAATTGGGCCAGGGTGCGTAGAATACTAATACCTAGCACGTATGGAATGGGCGATAAACTTACATTCTGGTGATACCAGATATGCATGCATTTATACCACATAAGAGACAATTGGTACACTTTTCAGCTAGGTTGACCCGCGCCCCTCCGCCAACTTGGCTCCTGGTCTATTACGCGACTGTTTGAATACTAGGGGATCACGTGGCTAAGTGGGTAAGACGCTAGCTCGCTAGCCTGGAGGTCGGGTGTTCGATCCCTGCATTGGCCGAGAAAGTTCATCCAGATTTTCCGGCGTGGTTCTCCCTTGTCAGTGATGCAGGACGGAGGGGCTGACAAGGAAAGCTGTCTAGTCGTTCGGATGGGACGAAAAACCGAGGTCCCGTGTACACATTGGCGTGCACGTAAAAGATCCCTTGGCAGTTGGAATTCGATATAAGAGTAGGCCGTAGTGCCGCTGTCCGGGCAAAATTTCCCTCATCGCACACTGTATGGCGTATGCCCGTCTTCATTAGTCCAGGTTAGGAGCAGAACAGTAGGACGTTAAACTCCATTTCATTTCATTTCGTTTGAATACTAAATGAAATAGGCTAGTTACCTCCCTTCACCTGTTGTTGATAATAGGCGGCTGTTTCCCTCGTCTGGAATGAGCCAACAATGTCTCATAATCGGTTTTATATTGATAGCAATAAACGAGTAGATGCCCTTTATTGAGTGGCGTTGCTTGAAATGCTGACGGTCCATGCAGTACGACACTTAAAATAAAACTTTAATATGCTACTAGTTACTTCATTTTACCTGCACTCATTATTCTCCGTGGAGAGATTATAGACCTTCCGTGGGCTTAAGGTTGTTGGTTTTTTGGGGGTTTTTTTTTTTGGGGGGGGGGTATGGTCGAGGTCTAAAGCAGTATAAATTGACATTACCATGTCCATGGGAGCAGCCATCTTTTAACAGACGATTGTCCGGACCATTGGCGTTCGGTCTCTAGTTCCGACCACTAGTCATGAAAAAATTATAACCGAAGGTCGCCCAGCGGTTCGTCAGTTATCGGTCATTCTCTAAACTCCTGTCCCGATAAACAAACGATCGAAACAAATGAGTGAATCTGTGAAAAAAAATGAAATTTTATAGTTTATATAATGTATTCAAATTTCTATGGTGATGAGTATGCATAATCATTTGATTTAAGTTTTACAGTGGCTAGAACTCTGCAAATAAATGTTTGTGATATGTAATAAGTCATATATACTCTTCAAAAAAAGTAGGGGATATTGAAATGCAAATAACTATGCAGGTTGTGATATGATAAATAGTCATGGACAATTGACATGCTTTGAGAGTATGTTCACAGATGAAAAACTTATCGCCCCAACAGAACCACTGAACTGCACATTCACGTGGGAGGGGTTCATTGTCAAATTTGACACTTCAAGAAAGGGTTGATGAAAACTGCCGCGTGCTGGTTTATCCTATCCATGTTTGCTTTCCTATCGGTTCTTGCATAAGATTTACTCTTTAACGTAACTTTGCTTTAGTGTGTTACGTTTAATGTGATCGGGAGATGTGTTCGTCGACGTCAACGTCCACCGACAACACTGCAAGAATTGACCGTGGCACTGCAAGAGGAGTGGGTCAGATTGCCCCAAATCGTAATTGGACGGTTGATTAGGATCATGCCACGACGAATTGCTGAATGTCTGAGGATTGGTGGAGCAATTACTCATTATTAAAACAAAAATCAAAAACGTTCATTTTCACTTTTGATAGTGTATCTTTTTGCGAGTGAAATGGGGCCGTCAGATAAGCCGCCCATATGAACTGTTTATGTTCATGTGTAGGCAATTGGCCTGTTATTAACCTACACTGGTTACCTCTAATAAAAACAGCAGTGCATTTCCGCAGTTTTGTATTGTTTCTGAATATCCCCTACTTTTTTTGAAGAGTATATAATTCGTCATTAAATAACTCGAGAAATATGCAAATGTTTATTGTCCCTAAAATATTGATGTAAATAATTGATTTTCCTCGATTTGTATTCCGTCTGGAGGATCGATCAACAGAGGTCACTGGAGAAGAAGGCTGACACGAAATACCAAAATGGCTAAAGCATGCGAGTATGTACCTAACGTAATGAAATACGTACTACATTAAACAGGCATAATGCAAAAGCTAAATCTGCCTATTGCAGTTCTTTCTTTAGGCCTGAAATGTTATCTAAATTATTAATTAGACATTGATTAACTTATCCAGACCATAATCAACTCCCAATGTCATCGCTAGCCTGCGATGTTTATTGGATTAGGTTCCGATTTGGTGTTTGACTTCCATTCATAATTTAATCATGAAATGGATAATCGAGGCTATGCTTTTTTTATCATACCGACTTTAGTAATGATGATCGCTAAAATCTCGGTTCAGAGTGGATCAATTTGACTAAAATATTCAGCAAATTCCTTTTACATTATCTCGATTTTAACTATTATAGTGAGAACTGCCAGCTCTTTATCTAATCACCCATAATGTATCTTTAGTAGAGAGAGGTTAATTCAGATAGAGAGTCTGGGACAATAGTTGAATGTGATAAGTAACGTCAGAAAGTTTAAATAATTCTTGTAGCTTGTAGGTTTAACCTCGTTTGTTGGACATTACGTTTGTGATATTTTCACCATAAATCTAGGTCTCAGTGATCACAAGATGAGTTTAAAGGTCAGCGGTAGTAAAAACAAAATGCTCTGTGAGTAATGTATTTTATTTTAGACTTTTGTATCCAAGGGTCATTGTTCTGGGTTTTGAAATAATTTTTTCATCTTTTCAGGTGTTGTAACAAAATGGTGTCACTTTACCTTGCCCTTAACGTCCTACTTCCTGCACCGTTTGAGCTAGTGAGGTGTGCTATGAGGGAAATTTTGTCGGGACAGCAGCTGCATTACGGTTTACTCTTATATTGAATTCCAACTATCAAGGGATCTTTTACGTGCACGCCAACGCGTACACGGGACCTCGGGTTTTCGTCCTACCCAAACGACTGTACGTGGGGAACCGCGCAAGAAAATCCAGATGAACTTTACCGGCCAACACTGGGATCGAACACGGAACCTCCAGCTCAGCTAGCCAAAGACAAACAAAAAATCTACTTTGAAGAGTATAATAAGTACGGTAATACCGGTGATGCCATGTGAAAGAAGGTAATGTGACATAATTAGGTATAAATATCACACTTGTGACACACATCACAGAGCGTTCACATCCCAAAAACTCATGTGATATAGCCGAGAGCTTCCGATTTCTTTGACAATGTCCTATAGGGGAAGCCTGCTCGGCATACACGTAGGTGCCTTCATGCCAGTCACCCTTTAAGGCATGTACACACTAAAGATTTTATTGTCGTTCAGGCTAATGTCCCACCGCTGTAATGGTTACCTGGCGGTGTTTTTTAAGCATCTATTCTGACACGGGTCTCTATATAGGAAACTTAAAGGACAATATTGGTGCCAGTCATTATCACATATGTGATAGAGCTGGTTAAATACATTCCAAATATAATTTTAACACGGAGATCATTGCTACGATAGCTGAGTAATACAGGTTTCCTGAGTCGGAAGTGACGAACGCCAAAGGAAAACACGAGCCATCTCTCTATATAACTGACTGATGTGACAAGTGATAATGGATATACGGCCGAATTTCTGCTCACTAATAATTCCTTCGAAGACCAAAAGTTGATATATGGGACTGTAAGAGGATACCTGACAATTCAATAAAGTAATTGAATGTCATTAGATAAGAGAACGCGAGGAAAATAGAAATAGTCCGTACATTCCCTTGTTTATATTCATTCTATACCTTATAAAAACAGGGTAATGCACGGACTTTTTCTGTTTTTCTTTCGTCACTTCCGATTCTGGAAAACTGTATTACTCAGCTATCGTACCAATGATCACTTTGTTAAAATTATATTTGCAATGTGTTTAACCAGCTCTATCACATATGTGATAATGACTGGCACCAATATTGTCCTTTAACCCAGCCGTAACCATTCAATACTTAAAGTTGTCTTCACCAGTACTAGCTGAGAAATTTGATGATATATTTTGACTAAAACTATTCAAACTAATTTCTTTATCAAAAGTTTGTCTCAAAAAAAATGTTGTCACAAGAACCTATTTTAAGACTTGAATGAGAGTGAATCCATTTTGAATATTTATCGTTAATCTCTGTTCGTTGGCAATACATAGTAAAATGTGGATTGTTATGGTGTTAAAATGGAATTCTGGTGTTGAGAATTGTGACGGTGTTGATTATCTATAAACAGGTGGGGTTTAACGTCCACTCGACACAAACTAGGTCATTTGGGGACTAACACATGGTTCAGTTTTAATTCAATACTTCGCTTGCGCGTAAGGATCTTTAGCAGTGGGAGAAAACCCAGGAGGTTGGACAGGTGACCTAATCCTTGTCACGTACAACCGGGGAATCGAAACCACGCCAGTCGACTCAATAACAGGTCTTATATGATGCAGCGCGCACGTGCTAACCATTCGCCATACAACCCCCCTGGGTGTCATTCGACCTCCAAATGTCAACAATTAAGACTGTATTTTGTGAATATTGATTTGTAAGGAGAAAATGTAAAAGGTACTGTGGCATCATGTAGCATCGATGTCGTTTGTGATCGGACAAGATAATCTACGCAGATTATGGCGGACGTGTTGCTTTAATATTGTATAATTTGACATATTCAAGTAAAACTAGGGTTTCTTCGGAATTTAAATCAGAGTTACAAATTATGTGGCATTTACGATAAAATAACTTTAATATGGTAGCCTACTTATTGTCAAATTATATGAAAAAAACTCTCAAAAACATTAAAAATTCCTATTCAGTTTTCAAATAAAATAACTGAATATGTGTGGATTTAAAACCCCACAAAACGATAGTTGATGTATTCAAGTTATGAAAAAAACTCCCAAAAAGCCTTGGATTATTATTGTAATATATATTCGATGTCATATCAGAAATATGAAGGCTATTTGTACAATGCAGTCACATTCATAGGTTTGTGTACCCCATATCATAGGGGCAATATTGCTGTTCACTGTGTCACTATTGGTACACCATACATCTGCAGTGAAAGTAGTCCATGAAACAAAATGGCTTTTTGTTTACAAAATATTTGAAAACACTGCGGTCCTATAATTCAATTTTTTGGATAAAAATAATTTCGGATTTTAAGTCTTGATGGTTGGAGTTTGATTATCTGAGCAACTTTTAGCCGGTTTAATTTTCCTGTGTTTTTTTTATAAAGCTTGTAGCTGCGCAGTCCTGACTTAGGAATTTTCTTCATTATTTGGTAAATTATTTTATTTCAAAGTCATTATTTTGGTTTTCCATTCATTTTTTATTGTTCTGTATCATCTCAGACACATGTAGATACCAACATATTGGCATGAAAGCCTGGTGTAAATACCTTTTTGAGACCCCCCCTCCCCACTTCAGGTTCTGTGACAAAATGGTGTCACTTTACCTTGCCATTAAACCAATTTCATATTAATATTGTAAGACGACAGGGGAAATAAAATAAAGCTGTAGAATAAAGATTTAAGAAACTCGAGAAATGATGGAAATAAAGATAAAAAAAAATATGTCGTTTTATAAACAGCACCAAGATATCACCTGTCGCATTCAAATATATAACAATATAAATACATCCCATAATAATAATAACTAATTATATACTTGACGTTCAAAACTATAATCTATTTGTCAAATCTATAGATCTGATTAACCAGTCTGTCGTCTAAACACGAGCTTATCGTGCCACGGGGTTATGTCGCCAATATTCAACCCCTTTAATCCCCGAATAATAATATCCTTCCACCGAACACAGCCCCTAATTAGTTGGTCTACCTGTTATCTCATTGGTTACCATGGTATAATGGAGTACACCACGTGATGCTGAAACGTGACACGTATTTTTTATGAATGAATTAAAGAAATCTGTCCTATGAATACAGGTGTTACACCATATTTGATCCAAAAAGCCGTTTTCTAGAGATATATTGTAATCTTTTTTTACTTATAAAATTCAATCTAACATTGTAATACTTAATTGCTTACGTTATTTTTCAAAAAATATCGTAAGTTTCTCTCGAAATTGCGATGTAGAAATCATAGATCATAGATTGCCTATTGAGACTTTATCATATACCAATATACCAAGACAGGAAAGGAAATGTCATCTATGTAGACTAAATATAGGAGACGAATTCCATTATTTGTTAGAGTGTCGATTTTTTGCAGACTACAGGTCTCAATATGTAAAGAGACTTTATTTCCAATTTCCATCCACACGTAAAATGGATAAGTTATTACATGTTAAAGGTAACGAACTATTAAAAATTATGTAAATTCATTGAAAATATATTGTCATTTTTCTCGGTCCCACAAATGTAAACACTCTTAAGAAATAGTCTGATGTTTAATAAAATGTATATATATTAATTAATGTTAAATCTAATTCGTTTATAGTTTGATATAAAATGAATGTATGAATATAATGAAAATGTAAAATGAAACCTAATGAATTCTTGTAACCTGATGGTTTTCGTGAATAAAGATTATTATTATTATTATTATTATTATTATTATAATCTTTATCTTGAATAACCTTCTACTTACTTGAATAATTGTTTACTTAAAGGCTCAATACCACTCTTGTTGTAACTGAATAATATGTCCCAATCTTTATTCTGGTCAACAAATTGTACTATTTTACAATATTCCAATTAATTGATGATACAAATTTCATCTTAACACACCTAATTTAAAAAATTGGAAAAATTCAACTAAATGATTTGAAAAGCCTGACGTAAAGCTTTTCAAATGTGACTTGGATTTAAAAATATTTTTAAACCCTTTGGACAAGTAAAATAGGATTTAATGGATAATTTACACAACAGGTAGGACACTAACGCATCTAGTACTTAGAATAAGGCTATTTTTTTATTTTCTGGAGCTGTCAAGCCAGCAAGGGTGTTATTGTCCCTTTAAGTTCTATGTTCAATCTAAAACTTTCCATCTAAAACTGGAATAATTTTCCATCTAAACCTGGAATAACTTTACTTATTCCAGTTTTAGATTGAAAACAAACCTACTTAAGTTATCTAAAACATGAATAATGATGTTGTGTTTAAGTTCTATTTTCAATGGAAAACTTGAACAATTAAGTGCTTAAGTTATCTAAAATTTGAATTATCTAAAACTTGAATAATTTTGTGCCATTATTGAAGTAAGGAGAAAGTTCTATTGAATAATTTTGTGCTTAAAATATTTTCCATCTAAAACATGAATAATCTTGTGCTTAAGTTCTATTTTCCATCTTAAATTGCAATAATTAATTGTAATAATTAACTGCGCCTATCAAATGAAATGGTGTTTAACGACCTATTGTTGAGCACCGACAGAGCTAATGAAGACGGGCATACGCCATACAATGTACTCTTATACTGAATTCCAACTGTCATGTTTTCGTCCTTTCTCGATCAACACAGAGATCGATTGTGCTAATGAAAACGAGCATACGCCACACACTTCGCTATGAGGGAAAACTGTGGAAAACTGCGACACTACAATCTACTCGTATTTCGAATTCCAACTTTGTAAAGGGGACGTCGTTTTTGCTCCCATCCTATGGACTAGACACTAATCCTTGATATGCTCTCCGTTCTGTGAAATCATGTCCCAATTTATTTCCTTATTACTTCAACCAAAACGGTTTTGAGTAATCCGGATTCTGAATATTCCAAATTACGACATCATTCAGCGGTCCCGTCACACGATTTGCGTTCAACGAACATTGGGATAATCCGATCTTCAATCAGTGGGTGTTAACCGACAAGCAATCGCCAATCAATTAACAAAAATTCCAAATGATAACCCAAAGAATAATGTAATATTTATTTCTAACCTTGCCATTAGTTCTGGGATTTCTTGGTAAAGACAACATTTAATATTCGATATACGACATGTTCGCGATAACAAAGTTTAATTCTATCTTGTTCCATTATAATCTCGGGACGTGTTTGATTATTTGAAATTAATAACCATGCTGCTAGTTTAAGACCGGGCGTGTTTGGCTGCTCCGATTCCCACCGTAATTAAAAAAAACTGATATTTGTTGATATAATAATTTTAATTTTACTTCCAATAATTTACAGTAACAATAAAACACAAATATTATTTACATATTTACACCATAATAAAGCTACAAATATTTTACAGATATTCTCAGAATAATACAAACTATTTATTCGACCCCAAACAAACCCGAACGTAAGGACATTTAGGCCCCAACCAAACCCGAACATCAGGACGTTTAGGCCCCAAACAATCCCAAATATTAGGGCATTTAGACCCCAAACAAACTCGAATATTAAGATGTTTAGACTCCAAATAAAGACTAATATTAAACGGACATTAAGTAAGATAAGATAAAAAGCAGACAGTTCTCACTATACTATGCTAGCCTCGATCGTCATTACTACCGTTGGTACGATAATAGACAAAGTCTCAATTATCCATTTTACTTTAAATCAGCCATCACAAAACGTATTCAAATCTACTAAATATGGTATCTTATGGTCTTGATAAATTAAGTAATGTCTAATTAATAATTTAGATAACATTTATGGCTTTAAAAAAGATCTACAATAGACAGATTCAGCTCCTGGATAATGGATGTTTAAGAAATTTAGACGAAATTCAATCCCAACACACCACCAAAAAAATATGTCAGGTTTATGGAGTACAAGATAAAAATAATATGAGTAGAATCAGATACATACATAAAAAAATAACACAATTTGAATGAGGTTGTTGAAAACTAAGATAAATATATATATAAAAAAACAGAGACTATAGACTATATATCATTCATGTAATTATAGTTTCTTTTTTAACGTAAATTTATCTACCGTATCTGGTTTCTATTTGTTAGATTAAATTAACTCAAACTCTTAAATTTATGCAACAATCAAGTGTGGGGCGGACAGGGCTGATTCAATGCGTGGTATTACGATTAGTGGAATAATAGGAGCCGAGGTGGCTTACTGAGTAAGATGTTAACTCGCTAATCTGAAGGTCCCGTGTTCGATCCCGGTGCTAGCCGAAAAAGCTCATTGGGATTTTCAAGCGTGCCCCCCCCCCCCCACACACACACACATACTTTGTCAGTAATAGTAATGCAGTGGCAAGAAATAGCGTACAGTCATTCAGATGTGACAAAAAACCAAGGTGTCATGTACACATTGGCGTGCTCGTAAAGGAGACCTTGGCAGGTTTGTCTTCATTATCCCGGTCGGTGCAGACCAGTAGGACATCAGAGTAACCGGAAGTCAAACAATGGCTCTTCAATTCATTTCCAATGTTATTTCAGGATTACGACTAAGAATAAGATAATTTAGTCTTTATACAAAATTATATTACCCTTTCTTACTTCATCTATCGCATGTGCTGGATTTATTAAATCGCATAAAATTTAAGTTAGCTCAATCTGAGGGTGCAAATAATTTAATTGTAGATGAGGGGTCTTTTTATTTCACTAAACAATTTAATCTGCCGGATTTTCAAGTTTTAACCCAATTCAAATAAGACATACATAATTGAAGTTCAGAATTTTGTACGCGTAATTTTAACTTTTATAGGAAATATACATAAAAAAAAACTTTTTCTAAACGTTCCACAAACAAAAGGTCCGATCTGATGTACAATAAAAATACAACAATTTATAGAACCGGCATATTATTTATATTTAATCTAAATAATATATTTTACAAAGTGGGACACCGAAATAAAAACTAATTTGAGACTACGAGGTTTTGTTTTTATTTGCCAACGATAATAAGAATGTAAACATCCTAACCGTAATCATCGCTGGAAATCTGAATCGAACAAAAATGTGAGTACAAACTTACTAATTGCGTTAACCGCAACGCAACGCACCAACGAATAATTACCAATTTTGTCAATACAGGATGATAAAGTTCAGAAAAATAATCGCCGATAAAAAAATCGCATAATGTGTGTAATACCATATGCTGGTAAATTATGGACCATGTTGGTTAAAATGTAATTTATGATAGAAATGTTTAAGATAAATTAATAAAAGGTAAAATAAAATTTCCCACCTGGGAAACAAGAACGATCATCATCCAATATCTAGCAAATAAAGTAGTCTCGCATTCATCCACTTGTCATGCGCACAAACAAATAAAACTTTTCCGAGGCGCACACGAATACTTTTGGTTTGATATTTACAGCAAATAAGACAGTTCGGTATATTTTTTTTAAATGAAAGTTTTATTGAAACTAATATCAATGTCAACTCAAGAACTTCAAATACCAGTCCAAATAAATCGGTGATAAAATGCCCCCCCCCCCCCGCCCTCCCTCAGGTCACACACACCCACACACACACACACACTCTCTCTCTCTCCTCTGCCACTTCCAAAAAAGGCATAACTAACCATTCTTGACATTAAAAGAAAGTTTTACTGAAATGGTAAATCCAAAACTCCAGGGATTTCGTTTCATTCTTGAATCTAGTCCCACTGCATTTCAACGGGGTATACCGTTGCGGAATTTTCATTGGTCGCACAATATAAGCACGAAGAAGGCGGCGTGCTAGAACTGATGCTTGTATCCGTGGGGTTCAGTGAAATGTTTTTTTGTGCATGGAATACGATATCCGAGCGCGGATACCGACGATATAACAAGTTCATAGAGCACTAAAACACTTTAAAATATAAGTTTTGGTTGATTTTGGATTTGATTTCACAAAGATTTCCTCGACTCCTGAACAATGTGGGACGAGCCTTTAACTATTCCTTCGTCGCCAGATAAATGTCCATTTTCTGTATCACTGGCGCTTCCCTCTCCTTCTTTACCTTCAGAATGTGTTTTTGTATGCTTAGCTAAATGGTCACTTCTCATAAACTTTTTGTTGCAGATCGGACAAGCAAAACGCTTCTCCCCCGTGTGTGTTCGCAAGTGTCTCTGGAGTTCGTCCGATCGAGTGAACCGTTTTCCGCAGAATAACCAGTTACAGACAAACGGACGTTCTCCGGTATGCCAGCGGAGATGTGCTTTAAGATGTGATGATTTGTTGTAGACCTTCCCACAGCCAGGTATGTGGCAGCTGTGGATGTTGCGCTTCCTGAGATGTTCTCCTGCCGGACCCAGTCGATCAGCTTCATGACAGTTAGGACAGTTGCAGTTGGACCTGCCGGGATATCGTCTCTGGGTTCTGGTGCCGGCTATACTGGGTATGCCAGGTCTGGTGAGGAAAGGACTGACGGTATTAGGTGAGAGCTCGGTTTGGTTGGTCAGCATGGACTTGTAGGTGTTGTATGTGTCTTGCAGGAGATGTTGACCCGAGGAGTAAATGTTGTTGTTACTGGAGCCTAGAGCATGGGTTAGTGAGTATTCCGTGGAGGGATAGTTAGTTGTAATTTGGTTTCTAAGAGCAGCAGTAGCAGCCGTTCCTGAAACATCCGTCAACCAGTTGGAAGCATTGGTGTGAACATCCCACCAGGCGGCGCTCCCGTTTACAGGATTAACCTCACTCTTTATACCAGTAGGATGGCTTCCACTGAAGGGCCATGTATCGTACGGGTGTCCGGCCAGACTGTGCATCCTCGTGTAAACGGTGCCTAAGCCCGAACTGCCAATGTTCCCATCAGCTGTTGGCGGTATCTTCTGAGGTAAACCTGTCGGGGAGCCCTCCGAAGGACTGTAATTTGTCGAACTGTTAGAATAGAAGAGATCATTATTTAAGGTGTTGTTAGAAGCCACAGATGAATTAGTGGAGCGGCCATAACTTAAATAATTACTAGCTACTGATGTAGTCGTCAGACCCGAGGAGGTTTTTTGGTTCGACAGACTGTTGGCTCCAGGCGATGATCCCGGTTCTTTCTTCCAGGGATGGAAACCTTTCGGTAAACTTGGATCTGTTAAGGGCTGCGGACTTTTATTGTTGATTTTATTATACTGAGCTGTTAACATAGCTAGGGGTGTTCCACCTAATGGATGCGGTTCCTGAAAAATAGAAAACAAGATAATGAAATGAAATAAAATGGGAATTAATGTCTTACGTTTCTACTGGAAGGTTCGTTTTGCTCATAGAGCGGGCATACAGACTAGTCTTACTCCAAGGAATCTTTAACGTGTTGTCAACACTGTACACGGGACTCGTCCGAACGACTAAAAACCCTTTTTCGCCATGACCCCCACCCCCACCCCACTATCTTGCACCACTTACAATGGTGTACCAGATTTGAATATCCTCATGAATTTTCTAGGTGAACACCGGGATCAAATGCCGAGTCCTGGATATTGTGCGAACATGACACTCATCAAGCCATCTTGACTCCACATAAAATCATTAGCACTTACAGAAAATTTGTCAAATATTGCAGAATATATTTTGTAAAATTTAACAAGATTAATAAACGATGTTAATCTGTTTAACAGAATTATTTCCCTTTTAATTTATACTTGATTTAATATTTCAATTTTAATTTTAAATTTACTTTTAGTAATTATATGAAATTTGTTCTCTTGTGGAATTGTTTTGTTTCATATTTTAGTTTCTGTTTTCAAAATGAAGTTTATAATTTGTCTTTAACTTAGTGTATTAAACACAAAAACATAATATGGAACACAATTACTATTTTAATTAAAGCGACGTTTCGTTGGGGGTTCTCTCAACGTTTTCAAGTAAATGATAACGAAAATAATATACTTAATGTATATTATGAAATAAATATTATGTCCATGATTTATATCTTAGTTGGAAATTATGTTTACATTTATTCTACTTGATATTCGAGGTTTGTTTTTCTTCATAAATACACAATCCTCTTGTAATATATACAAAAACAAAAAATAGATTAGACAGCAGGTTGCTTGAAATCTTCAGGTGATACGAAATAGGATATGATATTATGTTTAAATATAGATTTGTATGTTTTAATGAATAGGCCAGTTGTAAATACTGTAAGATGTAAAATGTCAAAACGTGTATTATATAATTCATTTCATTTGTGAAAGGCAGTAAGCTCCTGTTATCTCCTCGTCTAATTTGATAAGTTATTTTATGAATGAGACGGTTGTTAACGCGATCATGTGTATATACCAACATGTGTAAAGTGTATATACCAACATGTGTAAGGTGTATATACCAACATGTGTATTACAATGTACTATATTTCTTCCATAGTCGGATACATTATAATATCATCTTTAAATAGATCGCTATACTTGAGTTTCGAAATAACAACACTAATAAAATTCATTATTCTTTTTTAAAGGGCTTGTGTTGATTGATAGGTATCAGACCCAATAACTCACGCCATTTGACGTGTTATTTCGGCCCCTCAAATACTTGATAAGGTTCTTGTTTATAAGATCTAAAGAGAGGTCTTGCTGTGTACAAGGGGGTGGAATAATTTACGCCATGTTGACCACCCTTATAGCCGATGATGAGGCCCTAATAAAACCTTTTCTACAGTCTAGTTAGTGCTCCTATAAAGATGCGTATCTCTACAATAGGTGTTGGGGTTATTGTCAAGTCCAGACTAAATAACTGGTGTATTTAAGATGATCGACACGGTTAACTAGGGCTAACGATCCCTAGAAGGGGTTTAAAGATGTCTAAACCTGACTTTTATTAGGGTTATTTACATTCGTTTTTTACACTGGTCCCATGTTTAAACACAAATAAAAAAATATCAAAGTGTAACGATTTATCATTTCACAGATCAACTTTTATCGGATTCAACAGTTTGTGATCGGCACATTTGCTTTTTTCGGACAACAACAAATTTTTGCACAGCTTAATTCACGCTAAAATGTATTCAGACAGATTATTAGCATTTGATCAAATAAAATCAAAATATGAGTGCTAGATAATCTCCCGACATTGATTCAATCATGTTAAAAACAGATTCATCAAAAGATTTAGAGAAAATTAAAGGCGGCGTTGATGGACCATATTCAATATATAGAAAGTGAAAGGTTCACAAATTTTCAGTGCACCATATTTTTGTAAATATGTTTGGTCAGGCCATCGAAAGTATAAAAGAAACGAAACGAAATACAGATCTGTATTTTAATCAGATTGTTTGTCAAATGGCGATCAAGGGTTTTATAATTTCCTTTTAGAACACCAAATGTCACTTCTCAAAATCTTGAAGAAAGACAACTTTGCTTTGAGTCGAGTCAGTTTCCCTAACTTTATTTATCTTTAACGAATATTGCGCATTTGGTCGAAGACACGGAATCGCTTTCACACTAAGTTTTAAAAATTTCACACAACCTCGTATGCTTTCTTTGTCTATGCAAATGAATAATTTTAATATTAAGTTTTGTACCGACACGGAAACTTATGACCACCGGACCAACAAGCGTCGGTACAGGTCTAGCGATTAAATGGGTTTGGCACTTCAAGGAGCGACTGGAAATTACAAGTTACGAAGTTTTTTTTTATGAAACTAGACAAGTTCACCGGATAAAAACACGAAACATTCTGGGGAAATAGTCTTCTATTATTATTATTACGGAATTCTTGACCCAGTGGAAACTCCTCTCTAGAGAAGAGTGCTTTAAGATTAATTTCGTTATGATGCAAATTTCTGGAAATAATTTAAGTGTTCAGATTATAAAAACCAGAGTGAATGCTCTTTTCAGAATTTGTAGGTCCATTTTAATTTCCTGTTATATTATATGAAAACAGTGGTTTTAACTACTAAACATTTGGCAATGACAGCATCTGGGTTCAAGATATTTTCAGTATTCTGAAAGTAAAGGTTGGTTTTCTGATGTTTTCTGTTGATAATTTATAGTGTATACGAACAGTATTATAAAATAATTCATTGTCTATTTCATCACTGATTCGATGTTATGGGCCTTAATTCAAGGGTACTTCGGGAAACAGATAGCTGAGAGTTCTTCAGATTTAAATAGGGTTTTTGACGAAAGGCGAAATGGCGCGGATTAATAAAGAAAGGGGGTAGAAATAAGGAACCTAAACTTATACTTATCATGGCCAAAGTTCAAATTCACAAAATATCTGGAACCAAAAGTCTTTAAGAATGATCTGCTCCGGAATCGAATCACAAATTCTATCATTAGTCTTTTGATTTGTAATAATATTCGGCGCGGGGTTAGTTTGTCGTCATATTATTGTCTTAAAAAACATTTCACCAAAAATGATTCAATTCAAATCAGAAACATGTCGTCATCAATCAGTATTTATTTATATTACTTGTTAAATTTATATTATTTTAGAAATTATAATAATTTGAGCTCTGGAAATATTCTCGAGTTCATTGTTAATCTTCCTATAACATCATTTATTGTAAACAAATATTAATTTGGTTGCAAATGGATTTTAAAAAATGTGTTTTTCAAACGTTGTATTTGAGAAATGCTGAAGTTTGTAAGATGGAAAACGTTTTTAGAATTATTTGGGCTTTTCGTTTAAGATGCTAACAGTTAGACGAAACCTGGGAAATCACGCAGTAGTTCGTTTTAAATATATGACAGCCGCTAATGATCGTAACATTTTTAAGTTTTCGGTAGAGATTTTAAAATCTACTTCACAGCATGAGTTCATATTGTTCTTATTGTTTTGTAATTGAACGGCGGAATCCTTTTGCTGGCGGAAGACGAATTTAAAATATAATCTCTTTGACCCTCCAGAACAGAAAAAAAACATGGCTTTCTCAGATTGATGCCTACTATTATTATAAATTTCAAGGATTATACATTTAGAATAATTATCGGGTACTTGGCTTTCCTGAATACTGCTAACTATTAATTAAAAACCCTTTCAAAGCACTCGACAAAGACTGATCCCCTGTTACATCCAATGCGCGATCGACGTAAATAAAAACAAAACAAAAAACAAAAACCAAAATAAAAAATTGCCGCCGCACCGCAGAATACTGGGGAACTAATTCTTCAATCTGTGTTGAAGTGTCATGAAAATAAGAAATCATTTAAAGGTTGAAGTTGCTAATTCTTATAATAAGTGTAAAGTAATTGTAGCTAAGCCGAGATAAAATCACTAGTTTCTACTCACTGTTAGTATGCTAGTCGCCATTCCTGACATCCAAATTGTTATTTTCAATTCTTTAACACGAACCTAGTTTTTACCCGACTAGTGGATAGAAAATTATAGCCTGCGTCACGCCCCTTAATCCTAATACGCCCACTTTTGACCGACAGCACGTGGAATACTTCGGTTAAACCAATCAATGCGGCCGATATCTGATTTGAATACATGTCGTGAGACGGCTCTTGTTTAGTGCCGTATAATTGCAGATTTGCGAAGCTTTTGATTCTGCGAGACTCACAGAAATTTACGATCCGCATAATTATACCTCTTGACAGTAAAGAGTTCGTCAAGCCTCGTTATGAATCAATGACTTCCGGTTGAGGAGATTGAACGGTGCTCGGATGTAATTTGGTCGAGTTTAATGACGTATAATTGTTCTTGTGAGTGAAAACAAGGCTATTATCCTCGCTAGCAACAGAAATATGAACGTCAATACCAGTTTATTTTATTAATAACGATTCTTACATTTTTTTCAAGGTTGTTCGCTCGAACAGAACGCCTCCCCGCCGACATTCAATGTTAATATTCAGGAATTAAGTCGTTCATAACAATCGAATAATTCAGAAAAATTTGATCATTGAAGTTATTGATGTGATTTTATTGATATCCATTACCCAGGGGGAGATAATATTATTAACCGCTACTCTTATAATTTATATCAATAAAAGAGTTTATAATTGAAAGTTAGAGAAGGCGGGAGAGATTCAAGAGATTTCTATAAATTATCTTATTAATAGGATATAATAATCACACGTCGATCATGATAATATTTATATGATTTGATAAAAGAGTTTAATTTCAGCAGATTGTAATAAACTAGAGTAATTTGTAAAGTTATTCATTTGTTTCTTGTGGTTTGTAGTAGATCGTTGTTTATTATAAAATCTACATAATAAATATAATGAAATGA